GTTCGACACTGCGTCAATGCTCTCCTGGGCGCTCGGAACTGTTTTTGGGATGTGGCCCTCAAGTACGATGGGAGCCATATATCAGGAGGGGAAAAAACACAGACACAATTAATCATCGACTCCCAGAGAAATATGGGAAGTGAGGGGAAGACGAAAACCCTGAAAAATATTGGAAAATATAGGGCAACCTGGGATTCGTGTTTATTTATGTGTGCGTCCCTGGGCGCGTCCCTGGGCCCCTTCACCTAACTTTGGGCCACGATGTGTGAGGCCCCCTCTTGGACGCCCCTGGTTGATGGGCCTGTTTTCCACCAGCACCACCATAAGTTGGAGGGGGAGGGGGTCCTCCTCCTCCTCCTCCTCCTCCTCCTCCTCCTCCTCCTCCTCCTCCTCTTCGTTCTCCTTCTCCTCCTCCTCCACCTCCTCGTCCTCGTCCTCCAACTCGTCCTCGTCCTCCTCCTCCTCCTCGTCCTCCTCCTGCTCCTCCTCCTCCTCCTCGTCCTCCTCCTGCTCCTCCTCCTCCTCGTCCTCCTCCTGCTCCTCCTCCTCCTCTTCCTCCTCCTCGTCCTCCACCTCCTTCCCCCCTCCAACTTGGGGTGGTGGTGGTGGAAAACAGGCCCACCACTGGCTCCCAGGCCTGGACAGCCCCAGCGGGGCCCTCGCGGAGTTCGCGGCGTTCCTGCGGCAGAGCGGCGCCACGGGGACCCCGCCCGGCAGAGCGTTGCCGGCGGGTGCGCGCGGCGGCGCGGCGCCCGCGCCCGGCGGCAGGGCGGGGGACGGCGAGCGGGCGTGTCGCAATCCCAGACCCCTTCGGGCAATGAAGAAATCGTGAGGGGATTTTTTTTTCTAAATTTTCGGCCTCCGGGGGCCCTTCCCGGGCCTCGGGGCCGTCAACAAAACGATTCAGGATGAGAAACCGGTCCTGGGGAGTGGGTCGAGACCTCTGGGGATCGACGTAATGCAGAAATCATGACGTCGGGGGTCTGGGATGGGGGGCGATCCGTGAGGCCCTGGAAGGCTGTTTTTTTCCAGGTTCAGCGATGAAGGTCCCTGGTTATCTCGACTACACTCGAAGGAGAGACAACTACTGGCGGCGCCTGCGGCGCCGCCCCTGGCGCGCTCCGCGCGCCAGGGAGATTGGCCCAGCTCAGACCCATGAAATCCGCACGGACCGTCGAAAGTGTATGCTTGTGCCGTTGTTGTCCTCCTCTATACACGTAAGCGTGACTTTTCGCTGGTCGGCCACGCGCAGAGGAAGGGTGGGGTGACGGGGGAGGGCTTCTTAGAAGCACCCCTGCTTCTTAGAAGGCGCCGGCCTTACCTATAGATGGAATGCCGGCGCCTTCTAAGAAGCAGTTTCCTTCCTAAGAAGCCCTCCCCTCTCCCCCTTACCCCCCCTCTGCGCGCCGCCAACTTTGGCGCGGGCCCGCTAGGGGGCCCCCCGATTGCGGAGCTCGGTGCGATGGCAGCGGCCTGCGCGCCGGGCAACATCCCCGAGGGGGGCCCCCGTCTTTGGCCGCGCGCGAAGGGTGGCCCCTGCCCAGGGTCACTCTTACGTGCAGCCGATGATCGGGCCGGCCTGCCCTGAAGTCGGGCGTGTCCCTCTACAGGAGGAGTCTTCCAAAATAGTCGAAGAGTAATCCGGGGAAGATCTGTCTACCACGTTTGGCAGTGTGGAGCATGTTTCTGGTATGTTTGATGCTTCTTGCAACATCCGCCTCAGTAGGGGGACAAGCCCGACCTAAGCCTGCCCCCTCCCCCCCTGTCTCCCCCTCCCCGGATAACCTGGCCTTGTCGGCTGCGCGGGCCCGAGGGGGTATACGCAGTGCTGGTGCGCGCAGGAACTCCTTGGGCCGCCCAGACCGAAGAGCTTGGGTTTAAGTCGGGCGTGTCCTCCCACAGGGGCATTTTCGACGAAAAATGGAAAATACCCGCAAAATACGCCAAAAAGGTCACAACATATTCAACAAGTCATCCCCAGACTATTTTTGGATGATTATTTGATTATTTTTGGGGTTAGTTTTTAATTTTGCGTCGAAAATCCCCCTGTAGGGGGACAGGCCCGACTTAAGCTTAGGTTGTATCGGCCGGCTCCTCCCTCCCCCCACCCACCAGATAGCCCGGGTAATTCTAGGCTCCCCAGACGGGGTCCGAGCAGACGTGCTCGGAGGATCGCGTCGCATCGCCGGTGCATCGCCGATGCGGCTCGATGTGGAGCCAGATTCTCTCCACGCCAACGGCGCCGATGCATCGCCGACGTCGCCGGTGCATCGCCGATGCATCACCGATGCATCGCCGATGCGGCGTGATCCTCCGACCCCCTCTACTCCGATCCCACCTAGGGGGCCTCTCCAGAAAGGCCCTGCTCGGTGCCCTTCCGCGGTCGGGTGAAAAAAGAAAAAGGGCACCGAAAGACCATCTGATAATCTAATATGGTGGCCTTACGTCGGGCCTGTCCCTCTACAGGAGGGGTATTCAAAAACAGTAAAAAATAGTCTGGGGACTATGTTTTGGCTATTTTTGCCCATTCGGGGGGTATTTTTAGAGCATTTTACATTTTTCGCCCAAAATCCCCCTGCAGGGGGACATGCCCGACTTAGATATGGCCTTGGGCTTGTGCGTCACTACTCACGGAGGCGCCAGGTGCGCTTGCCGCCGGGGCCGACTGCTCCACAGCACGAACAGAAGAGGAGTGCCGCCCAGGAGGCCTCGGGTTTTTCGTCGACAGCACGGTAAACGATTTCTTCAAGGCCTTCGATGGTCGAAGGAGTTGCCTCCTCGTCCTCGGCGCAGGCGTAAGGCGGTGGAAGCTCGGCAGGCGCTCGCAGAAGTAATGAGAGGCCGCCCCCGCCGTGAGGCCAGCGGAAGCCGGCAGAAGTAACCATCGGCCTCCCAAGTGGATGGCAAGGCCGTTGGTTCAGGGTTTCCGGAATTGGAACTCGCCACGTGAGGGGAATCGATCACAGGAGGAAAAGGCACCGATACCGATACCTCTGCCTCGCTTTAATTTCTGCGGGCCTACAGGAAAGCCCTCGTCGCCGACGATGGCTTCGCCCCGAAGTCCTGGTCAGAACGCACGCCGGAAGAGGACCTGGCGGTCGAGCACAACGATAAAGGTGGCGAGAATCGGCGAGGGGGCGATCGAGGGTTGCAGGAAGTCGAAGCACAAACATCTGCACAAACATACGCTCTCGGAGGTCCGCGTGGATGTCTCGGATTGGCGCTGGGTTCCCTGGCGGCGTCTCCGGCGCCGCCCCTGGCGCGCTCCGCGCGCCAGGGAGGGGGGCCCAGCGCCGTTCCAAGAAATCCGCCCGAAGCTCCCAAAGTTTACGCTGATGCCACTTCTTGTGCCTGGAGGGTTGCAGGGGGGGGCACCATGGGGCCCCGAAGGCGAACGAAAGGGGATCTTTTCTTCATCCCCTCGCTCCTTGTCCCCCACCCTATTACGTCAGGTTCGTGTCGTGTCGACCAGCGGCGACCCCTCCAGCGGCGTTCAACTTTGAACGCCGCGGGCGACCCAGACTCGTTCGATGTGGAACGATTTGGATGTTTCGTGAACGGCCGATCGTTCAAGGTTGAACCATTCCCGCGGTGTCGGAAACCAACGCCGGGGTCGAAACGACACGAACCCGCCGTAGCCTTAAGTCGGGCCTGCCCCTCTACAGGGGGAATATTCAAAAATAGTTAAAAAATAGTCTCGGGAGTATTTTTGAGTTTTTGTTGGACAATTTTTGAATAGTTTTTGAGTATTTGTTATTTTTCGTCGAGAATCCCCCTGTAGGGGGACACGCCCTACTTAACCGTAGCCACGCCCGAGGCGACGTCGTGTTCGTGTGCGAGATGATGCGCGACCAGCAGTTCTGCGTGCGCGCGGAGCGTACGGCCGCGGGGCAGCACGGCAAGAGGGACCGCCCGGCCTGGGTGGGAACGGGTGGGGGGGCATCCTTCACCAGCCTCGAACTTATCCCTATCCCTAAGATGACACGCTAAAAGGAAATGACACTCTCAGGGGTGCACCCTCAGAAACTGAGGAAATCCTTAAGATCGCCATCGTGATGAGGCAATGCCCACCATAGGGATAGGGATATGTTCCAGGCTGGTAGTAAATCCTGGCAGCTGGAAGGCGGTTCGAAGAGACGCCAGTGCACCGATCTCGGCGCCGTCGTCGTTCAGGGGAGGAAGAGGTACCTATACCGCTATCCTTTCCTCGTTTTCCCTTGTTTGGGCCTCCTCGGAGGCCCTCGTCGCCACCATCGGATTCGCCTCGAAGTCCTGGTCAGAACGCACCCCGGGAGAGGTCTGGGGAGTAGCGCTATCAGTACCTTTCGGTCTCCCCAGTCGTGACCGCGGAATGATGCGTGCTGCCATTGCGAGTTCCTTAGCGTGCTCTGCCGACAGTGTGGAACGGCGACAAGGGGTTGAAGGGCTGCGACGGCGACGACGACGACGAGGCGGGGATGGACGAGGTCGGCGGCGACAACGACAAGGAAGGGAATAGGGAAGGGGGGGAGACGAGGAACATGAAGGGGATGAGAGGGAGGAGGAGGTGCTGGCACTCCTCCGTTTGCCCCCAACTCTTCCAGTCCACGTCCGCCCCAGGACGTCTACATGCCGCCACAAACCTGGAACGCCGTGGCCCAGATGCGCGGGGCCCGCATGTCGCCGGATCGCAGGAAGTGGGTGTTCGAGCTCCGCGAGCACGATTCGGTGGTTGCGGGCCTCAAGCAGCTGGGGACCGTGGAGCCCATTCCCTCCTGGGTGTTCGAGATCCTGAGGCGGGCCGAGAAGAAGGCCGAGGTGGTGCTCAATCCCGACATTCTGCCGCCGGCACTGCTCCCTTACCAGCAGGACGGAGTGCGTTTCGGCATGAGCCGCTCAGGGTGCTGCCTGATCGGGGACGAAATGGGCTTAGGTAAGACGTTGCAGGCTCTGTCCATTGCAGCACAGTGCATGCAGGAGTGGCCAGTGCTGGTCGTGTGTCCATCGTCTGTACGGGGCGTATGGAAAGAGCAAATCGTGCAGTGGCTGCCCGACCTCGTGGAACCTTCGGAGGTGCAGGTCATCCAGAGCGGTGCCAAAAACTTCGACACGGACGCGGCGTTCTGGATCATATCCTACAACCTCCTGGCCACCGACGCCAAGAAAGGCAAGTTCCAGCAGCGCCCCGACGGCTCCCCTCACGGCTTCGTCATCGCGGACGAGAGCCACAACATTCGAAGGCTTGCGGCCACTGCCGCCGCCGGCCCCCGTCCCCAGGCGTGAAGGGACCCATACATCCTCCTACGCGTCCTTCTCTGCTTTGGGCTCTCGTAGGGTCCTCTGCAACGCCTTCGGACCCTATTCGGGTCCATCCCTGGCCTTGTCAGGGCCTCTGGGTGCCCTGCTGGGGCCGCTCGGGGCCCTCTTGTGGGCGTGTGGTTGTTATTGTGGGCCCCTCAGGGGCAAACTGAGGCCCTCTTGGGCTCCCTAAGGACCTGTGCTGCCGCATAAGGAAGGCATCGCAAGATCCATCTAAAGCGGAGTAAGCGGAGTGGGCAAGATTACCGAATCCAAGTAACGACAATATGATATGCAATGACGCGGGTATCCAAGGGGCCTGCCTAGCAGGCCCACGGGAGGCTCCTCGGTGGATCTCCGGATGCTTCTGTGCGTCGCTGGGATTCCCTGAGCTCCTTGGAGGCCCCGGGAGCCAGAACCTGGCGTGCATAGCAAGGAGGCGTGGCCTTGAAAGCGAGGATCCGTCGCATGTCGCCGTGAAGAAAGAGGGCTCCTCCTTCTCCTCCTCCTCGTCCTCCTCTTCCTCCTCGACGCCTCTTCCTAGACTGGTCCTTCTCCTCCTCCTCCTCCTCCTCCTCCTCCTCCTCCTTCTCCTCTTCCGCCTCCTCCTCCTCCTCCTCCTCTTCCGCCTCCTCCTCCTCCTCCTCCTCCTCCTCCTCCTCCTCCTCCTCTTCCGCCTCCTCCTCCTCGTCCCCCTCCTCCTCGTTCTCCTCCTCGTCCCCCGGGGGGGGGGGAAGCGTTCCGGCTGCTTCCTCCCCCTTTTCGGGCGCAGACCGTCCCCGAACCCCCGACCCTCCGGAGAACGGCGGCCCGGACGCAGACTCGGCCCTGGCCCCGGCCCCGCCTGTGGCTGCAGCCAACTCGCTGTAGAGGTCAGGCTTTTACCATTAAGCTCGGGTCGGACGAAAGGGGGGGATTGGGAAAGGGGGGGTTCTGAAATTTGCTGCATGCGGCTGGTTTCGGCCTCGCCGAGGGGCCCATTCCTCGATACACGGCCGCCTCCGGCGCCGGGAGGCGCGGGGAAAGTACGTGAGCTGATTCTCACCCCCCCCCTTTGCTATCCGTCCGTTTCGCCCGGCCCGATAAGCCTTGTCGGCGTCCATGGATGCAGGGACCCACTGCTTCTTGCATGCATCCGTGCTAACGAGCCGACCCTGCCTAGTTCACCTGAAGACGCCTGAAAATCGAGCGTTGGGGGCACCACCATAGAAATCGCCCACCACTCGGCGGGTGGGGTCCCCAAACGGGGTGGTGACCGCACCGTGCGGCGAGTCGGTGGGGACTCGGGGTCCCCGCACGGTTTTGGGACTCGGGTCGTTCCCCGGAGACGTCTCGGGCGACTGGGGTATCCGAGGTCCCAAGACCGTGCGTTGACGTACCGTGCGGTGAGGTCCTGCGGGATTCCGAGGTCCCCGCACGGTCTGTCACCGCACCGCTTCGGGACTCCAAATCTGGGGGGTGATGCAAAGGGGGGTGCAGATGAGGGCCTTGAGGGGGCCCTGAGGGGGCCCTTTGGGAGCCAGCAGGGCCCGAGCGGTCCCCTGTAAGGAGGGCCCCTCCTCTTCACCCCCCATTGCCGTCACCCCGCACTGCCGCCCGCCCGAGAGGACCCGTTTCCATCAGGGCGCGCCTCTCCTCCTCCTCCTCCTCCTCCTCCTCCTCCTCCTCCTCCTCCTCCTCCTCCTCCTCCCCCTCCTCCTCCTCCTCCTCCTCCTCCTCCTCCTCCCCTCCTCCTCCTCCTCCTCCTCCTCCTCCTCCTCCTCCTCCTCCTCCTCCTCCTCCTCCCCTCCTCCTCCCCCCCTCCCCATCCCCCTCCTCCCCATACCCCTCCTCCCCATACCTCCTCCTCCTCCTCCTCCTCCTCCTCCTCCTCCTCCTCCTCCTCAAGCATTTCCGTCAAGCACATGGCAGGGAACCGAGGCCTTTGAAACGAGGGTCACTCGTGCGGCTGGGTCCGCGAGGCCATGACGCCGCACTACAGGAGAAGCCATGGGGGGGCCAGACCTCTCAACAGATCGGTTGACGAGATCCGTAGAAGGATCCGCTGCCTCTGGCTGGGCCCATCCCGGGCCTGGGCGCGGTGCATAGGCCTCCCGGGCCAGGGCAGGATGGGGGTGTGCACCGTTCCTGGTCCCGGGAGGCGCCTGGCCAGGGGCAGTGGGTAAGGGACCCAGACACGCCATGTTCAGAAGGAACAAAAAACAGAGAGACACAATTAATCGTCGATTCCCCAGAAAATGTGGCGAAATATGAGAAGTGGGGGGGAAGACAAAAACCCAGAAAATATTAGAAAATATAGGCAATCCTATTATTTGTGTGTATTTCTTCGTGTGTCCCAGGGCCCATTCACATGTTCAGATGTTCTAGTCCCCAGAGGTCCCCTTCCCTGGGACGGGCTGTTCCATCCTGCGTCGTTTTGGATGGCCCAGGAACTCGAGGGATCCCAGAGGCCGAACACGACAAAACCCTCCGCCCTCACCAATGCACGGCGCGAGCACGTCAGGGCACGGTAGGTTCGCGCCGCGTTGACGCGGCGGCGGCCCTGGCGCCGGCGTTCATGTTTGAACGCCGCCAGTGGCCCAGAATCGCAAGATGTCAGCGATCTGCGCTGCCGGGAAGCCGCGATCGTTCTAGGCCTTCCTCGCGGCGCCAGAGACAAATGCCCCTCGATGGCCCTCGATGGCCGAGGCGCCCCCTCGATGGCCGAGGCGCCCCCTCGATGGTCTTCGCGATGTCTCGCCGCCCCTCGATGGCCGAGGCGGCATGCTCCTCGGGGCGGCCTTTTGGGGGCTCTCTGCGTCCTCCAGAACGTCGGCACGGGAGGGCGTCCAGAGGCCGCTCAGACAGCCCAAGCGGCGCTCCTCAGACGAAATAGCGCTCCACCTCCTCCTCCTCCTCCTCCTCCTCCTCCTCCTCCTCCTCCTCCTCCTCCTCCTCCTCCCTCCTCCCTCCTCCCTCCTCCCTCCTCCCTCCTCCCTCCTCCTCCTCCTCCTCCTCCTCCTCCTCCTCCTCCTCCTCCTCCTGCTTTGGGCAGCGGCCCGGAGCCTCTTCGTTACGGCCTCTCGGGGCCAGCGAGGAGTGCCACGGGGAGAGGAGCCAACCGCGCTGCCTCGGTGACCCGCCGCCGGCGCCCTGGGGGCCGAGAGGAGTCGGTGGTTGCGTGCCGGGGGGGCGAGGAGCTCAGGCGATGGCAACACAGGGAGCGGCGATGGGAACAACGTAAGGCGAGGGGCCCTCCAGAAGGGGCCTCTCGGGGGCCCGCCAGCCTTCCGAGACGCAGCCTCCGACCCATGCGGAGAAGCGCTCCTGCCTCCTCCGTGTGCGTGAGGCCGCTCCCCTCGCGCTGCCCCCCCGTGCTCGCCGCGCAGCCCCTGGGATCCAACGCCGTGAACGAGCTGCAACGCCGCCGTGGGGAGGGCACGGCCAGAGCCCTCGACCCCATCCCATCGTGGCAGCTCTCGAGCCAGATGGGGGGCGTGGACTTGCGTTAAGTCGGGCCTGTCCCTCTACAGGGGGGATATTCAAACATAGTCAAAGCATGATCTGGGGACCATTTTTTGATTTTTTTGTTTAACCATGTGGGAGTATTTTGGGGGTATTGTCTTTTTCGTCGAAAATCCCCCTGTAGGGGGACACGCCCGACTTAAGACTAGCGACGGGTCCCGCTTCCATGGGAAAACGCGGAGTTCCCCCGCCGAACGAGGCGGCACCGGCCGCATTTTGGGGAGGGCACCTCCTCCGATTCACGGATTTGGCGACCGCGCGCCAGATCCATGGATCGCTGATCTATGTTTGCGCGCCCCCGAGAAGTGGGGGGGGTGAAGAAGGTGCACCTCTTGTGCCCTAGATAGGGCCCCCTGGGGACCCAACTGGGGTACGAAACGTGCACGCTTCACGCTTCGCGTATCCCCACCAGCCAATTCAGAAGCCCTGCCCACGAGAGCTGACGGGAAAAGGGACGAAGGGATACATCTAGGGAAGCAAAGCGAGCAACCAGCGATCTTGGGGGCCTCTTGCGCCGTCTTGAGCCGTCGGAATGCCGAGAAGAAGCAAATGCCAGCATCTTTCAAAAACCTTAGGACAATGCTCCAGGAGGACCTCCTGGACGCCTTGTGGGCCGTCTTGGAGGCCTTTTGGGGGCCTCTTGGGCCGTCGTGCGCCATCTTGAGGCCATCTCAGGCCGTCTTGAGTGCATCTTGGGCCGTCTTGGAGACATCTTGGGGCCATCTTAGCCGTCTTGGAGGCCATTTTGACCGTCTTGGAGGCATCTTGGGCCCTCTTGGGGCCGTCTTGGGGGCCTCATGGGCCGTCATGGGGCCATCTTGGAGGCCTCGTGGGCGGTATTGGGGGCCTCTTGGGCCGTCGGAATGCCGAGAAGAAGCACATGCAAACATCTGTTTAAAAGCCTTATGACAATCAATGATTTTGGCATCTTCGGGCCCTCATGGAGGACCTTTTGGAGGCCTCTTGGGCCATCTTGGAGGCCTCTTGGGGGCGTTCTGGGCCGTCTTAGGCCATCTGGAGGCCATCTCAGGCCGTCTTGGGTGTATCTTGGGCCGTCTTGGAGTCATATTGGGGACATCTTAGCCATCTTGGAGGCCATCTTGGGCGTCTTGGAGGCCTCTCGGGCCGTCTTGGGGCCTTCTTGGGGCTCTCTTGGGGCCCTCTTTGAAGCCCTGGAAGGCCTCTTCGATCTAAGGAGAGATGGAGCAACGTTCGCCCCCCCCCCCCCCCCCCCAACGAGGCCAACATGGGGCCAACACCTTAGGAAAACCAATGATTTTCGCGCCCAGAGGGCTGGTGGGATAACGTTCAGCCCCCCCCAAAGAGGCCAAAATGTAGCCAAAACCTCAGTAACACCAATAATTTTGGCGCCCAGAGGGCTGGTGGGGCCACGTTCGGTCCCCCCCCCAAAAAATAGGCCGAAATGGCGCCGCCCCTGGCGCGCTCCTCGCGCCAGGGAGGGGGGCCCAGCGCCGATCCAAGAAATCCGCGCAGACCTCCGAGTTTTTATGTTAATGTCACTTTTTGTTCCCCTACGAAGGGGCCCCAGCGGACGCTGAACGACTTGGGCGAAAGTCCCGTGCGGATTTCGGCAGCCGGCTGGGTTCCCTCGGTTCCTGATTCCGGTTTCCGGGGTTCCCCGGTTGCTGGTTCTAGGCCGATTTCGGGGGCCCACGATCGAGCTCACCATCGATCTCTTGATCGATCTCACGATCCATCTCACCCAATCGATCTCACCATCCATTGATTGGGGCTTTTCTCTGGTGTAGTTCTCGTCCCAGTATTTTTGGGGTCCCGATCCGTCAATAAGCCCGCGCGGAAAAAGATGTTTCCCAGTAATGAAGGAGGGCGTGTTAGGAACTTTGTTGGGGTTGGTCTTCCTGCGCACAGTCTTCCTCCCAGCCCTCGGCCTCCTCGGCATCTTCCTCCTCGTGTTCGTCGCCCCCCCTTGCGGCGCCTCCTTTTTTTCAACGCTGTCCTCCTCGTCGTCCACGCTGTCTTCCGGTTACTAGTCCTCCTCCTCCTCCTCCTCCTCTTCGCCGGCGTTGTCATGTTCCTTATTCACCTCCTCCGCCTGCTCTTCGCCATCCTCGTAGTCCTCCCTCGGAGATCCGTCGGCCCGACCGCCCAAGGACGGTACTGCACACGACCCCCATATGTTTGGCGGTCCGCGTGCGAGCGCACTTGCGCGCATTATTCAACCAGCGCGGCTCTCTTCCCTCTTGCCTGGTTTGGGGTTGCCCCACGGGCACGAGCCGCAAAGAATCACGCAGCGTGACCGCCTGCGCACCGGACACCACCGCCGGGGGGGCCCAGCGGATCAAGGAGTGGAGCGCCGCACGCACGAAGGCGTAAGTCGGGCCTGTCCCCCTACAGGGGGATTTTCGACGAAAAATAAGAAAATGCCAAAAATTATAAAAAATACTCCAACAATAGTCTCTGGGGATTATTCTTTTTTTTTTTTTTTGTCATTTTTGGGGCATTTTGGGGGTATTTTTTATTTTTCGTCGAACATCCCCCTGTAGGGGGACAGGCCCGACATAAACGAAGGCCTTGGTGCCCATCATCCGCAGCGCCACCCGCAAGATACTGCTTTCCGGCACGCCCACGCGCAATTCCCCCGACGAGCTCCACCCCCAGCTGTGCGGGCTGCTGCCCTGGGCCCCCAAGCTGGCCGACTTCCGGGCGAGGTACTGCGCCCAGCAGGAGCAGCGCATACCCAACGGGAGACTGCTGAACCGGGTCGTGGGCGCCAGGAATCGAAGACGCAAACAAATTGCCCACACGTCATTTTTCGATGGCCCGCGCGGATTCCCTGGATCTGCCCTGGAGCCCCCTGGCGTTACGTCGGGCGTGTCCCTCTACAGGAGGAAAATTCAAAAATAGTCAAAAAATCGTCCGAGGTCTATGTGTTTCGCTTTTTGTTGGCTATTTGCGGGGTTCTTGTTTTTTGTTGCTTTTTTGTTGTTTTGTTTTTTTCATGTTTCGTCCAAACTCCCCCTTGTAGGGGGACATGCCCGACCTACCCCTGGCGCGCTCCGTGCGCCAGGGAGGGGGGGGGGGGGGGGGCACACCGCCTGCCCAGGGCATCCGCGCGGACCGTCGAGCGTCTGTGATTATGCTCAAGCCGGGCCTGTCCCTCTGCACGGGGGAATCTCCCCAAAAATAGTCAAACAAAAGTCCAGGGACGTATTTTTTGAGCACTGTTGAGCATTTTTTGAATCTGTTTGTAAGGTTTCCTCCACGATCTCCCTGTAGGGGGACACGCCCGACCTAAGATGATGCCGTCTTTTTCTTCCTCTGAGGAACACGGCGGAGCTCAACCACCTCCTTGAAGCGACCGTGATGGTGCGCCGGCTGAAGAAGGACGTGCTCGCGCAGCTTCCTGAGAAGCGACGCCAGCGGATTCCGCTCGAGGTCGCCAACGCCAAGGCGCTGAAGGACGCGAGAAATGCCTACAGGGAGTACCAGAGGGGCTCTGGCGCCTCCGGCATGTTCGTCGACGGCGGCGCCGACGACACCAGTACGATGTTCAAGAGCTTGGCTCAGGCCAAGCTTCCAGCGGTGAAGGAATACATCCTGGAGGTGCTCGTATCAAGGGAGGGAACACCTCCTGGACTTGATAATTTGTGTATGCCAAACGGCCTTGGGCGTTTACTAGGTAAACAGCCCTGCCCGTCTCGATTCCTTCTGTGGGTGCGTTTACCAAACGGCTTCGCGTGTCGGGGTGATTATCATGAGGGGGGGAAGTTCTGCCTTCCAAAGCGTTCCAGGACGCCCTCAGAGCGTTCTTCGGCCACGCGCAGAGGGGGGTAGGAGGAGGGGGGAAGGTTTTTAGAAGCACCCCTGCTTCTTAGAAGGCGAGGGCCTTCTCTATAAATGTAAGACCGGCGCCTTCTAAGAAGCAGCCTCCTTCTAAGAAGCCTTTCTCCCTCCCCCTACTCCGTTGTGCGCGTCGCCGAGTTCGGGAGCGGTCTGGAACGGTCGCGGCGCCCGATCCATCCTCCAGAACCGCCAATACCAGAGATTCCCGACCTGTCCAGTTTTTTTTGCTGCCCTGGCCCTGGCTTCATCTTGAGGTGCTCGAGCGCGGAGACGAAAAGGCGATCATCTTCGGCCACCACCAGGTTCGGGCCGGACGAAAGGGTAGGATAGGGGAAGGGGGGGGGTACGAAATCTGCTGCATGCAGCTGGTTGCGGCCCCGCTGCCAAACCCATTCCTCCATTCATGGGCGCCTCCCAACGCCAGGAGGCGCCAGGATATCCAGCTACGTGAGCTGATGTTCTACCCTACCCTTTGCTATCCTACCCTTCCGTCCCCCCTCGACAGGTGCTGCTCGACGCCGTCGAGGAGGTTCTGCGCGCCCAGCTCTCGAAGGACGGGCTGTGCCACGTGCGCATCGACGGCAAGACGCCTTCGGCCAAGAGGCCCGCCCTGGTGCGGCAGTTCCAGGAGCCGAAGAAGACAGATCAGTATACAGTGAACTTCTGATTGTAAGGATGATCGACTTTCGGAGGGTACCCTTTCATCCTTGCCTTTTGGGTCATCTTCGGTCCATCCTCAGCCACTTTCGATGGCCTGCCCCGCTCGAAGAGCCTCGGCATGGGCGTTCAAGGCCCTCGCATTCTTACCGCGCATCCTTACTATACGGGTTGACTGCACCTCCATCTGAAATCTGCCGACGAAGCAGCAATTTTCATGGACTCCAGGTTTCGCTCCAGCAGAAAAGGGACCTGCACTGGATCCTGGGCGTTCTCTTGGAGCTTCTCTTTCCGTAGACTTTTCGTACGCCTGGACTTGGACAGCTGCCTTGGAACGCGCTTGAGGTGAAGGCCATGCTCTTAGCACCAATGTTTTGTTTCAACTCCAAGCAGGGGTGCGCACGTAAACTTCAGGAGGTCCCCGCGTGCTTCTCGAGTCGGGCGCCGGGCCCCGCTCCCCTGGCGCCGCCAGGGGGGGGGCAGCGAACCTCCGACGAGCTGTGGCATGTTCGTGTGCAGTTTTTCTCTCGGCATGGAGGGAGCTGCTCCTGAGGGAGGCCTGTCCAAGATTCGACGGCGAGCGAAGGGGGGAGACGCGAGAAGGAGAAGGCCTGCTCAGAAGGCGGCGGGACTCCTCACCCTCGCGCCTTCTGAGAGGTCTTGTTCTTGTTTTCGGGGTAAGGCTTAGAAAACTCCTCAGAAGGCGGGGGGGCTTCCGAGCCTTCTGAGAAGGCCTTCTGCTTCTCATTTATCCCCCTCGCTCGCCGCCGAACGATGCTAGGGCCGGTCCCCGGGGCAGGTGTGTCGTCCTGAGCCGTTCGTGGACAGTGCTGGGCCCCGTGAGGCCTCCTCCTCCTCCTCCTCCTCCTCCTCCTCCTCCTCCTCCTCCTCCTCCTCCTCCCTCTCCTCCTCCTCCCCCTCCTCCCCCTCCTCCTCCTCCCCCTCCTCGTCCTCCTCCTCCTCCTCCTCCTCCTCGAGGCCCGGCCGCCATGGTGTGTGGGCGCAGCCCTTGGCAGTCAGGCCCAGGCTGCCCACGGAGGCGTGATGTGTTGGGGGGACGGATGGGGGCCTCTGGAAGCTTACGGTAGGTTCGCGCCGTGTCGACGCGGCCGCGACATTGGCGCGTTGGCGCGGGCGTTCGAAGTTGAACGCCGCCATTGGCTTGAAATCGGCTGTCATCGAATGATCCGCGCTATCGGGAAGCTGCGATCTTGCAAGATCCACGCTGGGTCAGAAGCCAGGGCCAAAGTCGTGACGACTCCAGCCCGCGTATGTTTTTGACGATATCTCTCATCAGTTTGACAGTGAGGACTCTATATATAACACATTCGAGAAGCTGCTAAGTGCGCCGCCGGATCTGGAATCGGGCGGGCGACGCTGCTTCCCGTAGCCTCCCAATCCTTATCCCTATATCCGTAGCCCCCTGGTCCCATATCCGAAAGAGCGCCTTCTGCCGTTCCTGGTAAGCCCCCCCCCCCTTCCCGGCGGTTCGAACGTGGGGGGGGGAGGGGGCAAAACAGCCTCCTACTCCGAACCTGGGGGTGGGAGGGGGAGGACCCCCCTCCCCCCCCCTTCTGGTTCGAACTGGGGAGGGGGGCGTGGGGGGGGGGGAGAATTCTCCCCTGCTGGAGTTCGAACCTGAAGAGATGGCGGAGGGGCTCATTGAGAAATGTTACGCTGGGCATCCTCGCCCCCTCCGCTGACAACAAACTCAAACATAGTTCTCACAGATCTAACAGAACTCAAACGAAGCTCAAACAAAGCCTTAACAATGCTCGAACACATCTCAAACGAAGCTCCAATGAAGCTCTCACAAAGCTCAAACAAAGCCCAAACAAAGTTCAAGTAAAGCCCAAACAAAGCACAATCAAAGCCCAAACGAAGCTGAAACAAAGCTAGAACAAAGTGCAAGCACAGCTCAAACAAGGTCAGACGAAGCTAACATTTATCTCAAGCGCAGCCCAAACAAAGCTCAACCAAGGACCAACCAAACGCAACCAAAACTCAACAAATACTCAAGCACAGCTGACATACAACTCAAGCAAAGATCAAACGAAGCTCAATCAAAGATCAAGCAGCGATGTACCACACAGCCCAATCAAAGCTCAATCAAAGCTCAAAGAAAGCTCAATCGAAGCTCAATCGAAGCTCAACACACAACTCACACAAAGCTCATGCAAAGCTCAATCAAGGCTCAAGCTACGCCCAAACAAAGCGCAGGCAAAGCACATGCAAATCTCATGCACAGCCAAAACAATTGAAATACATCTCAAGCAAATCTCACGTAACATTCAACCAAAGCTTGACCAACGCAAAAACAAAGTTCAACCAAAGTTCAACCAAAGCTCGAACAAAGCTCAAGCAAAGCTCTGCCAAAGATCTAACTACACCCTGTTAAAGCTTCTGACAAAGACCTGACACAACTCAGACACAGCCAAACAAAGATAAACCACAGCTGAACCAAAGCTCAAATACAGCTCAACCAAAGCTCAAACCAAAGCTCCGACAGAGCTCACGCAAAGCTCAACCAAAGCTCCAACAAAGCTCCGACAACGCTCACACACAGCTCAAACAAAGCTCAAGCAACGCTCACGCGGAGCTCTAACCAAGCTTCAACAGAGCTCACACGAAATTCAACCACAGCGCAAACAACGTTCAACCAACGCTCAATCGGAACTCAAGTAAAGCTCAATCAACGCCATCAACGCCCACATAAAGATCCAACACAGCTAAAGCAAGGCTCACTCGAAGCTCAAAACAAGCTCAAACAAGGCCCAACCACAGCTCAACAAAAGTTCATGCAAAGCTCAAACAGGGTCAAGCACAGCTCAAGAAACGCTAAAAGACAACTCAAACAAAACTCGAACACAGCCCAAACAAATCTCAAGCAACGCTGACACAAAGTTCAATCAAAGCTCATACAACGCGCGCACACATCTCAAACAAAGCCCACCCAAAGCTCGCACACAGCTCCACCAAAACTCAAGCACAGCTCAGCCAAAGCTCAAAGAGCAACCAAAGCTCAAACACTGCTCATGCAACGCTCAAACAAAGGTCAAAGAACGCTCTAACAACGTTCTACCACAGCACAAACAAATCCCGAATAACGCCCCAACAAATCTAACACACACCTCAACGACTGCTCAACCAAAGCTCAAACGAAGCTTAACCAGAATTCAACCAACACTCACACAAAACTCAAGCAAAGCTCATCCACAGCTCAAGCACAGCTCACACACAGCTCCACCAAGGCTCAACCAACGAAGTAACATAGCTTAAGCAAAGCGCCAACAAAACTCGTACAAAGCTCACGCAAAGCTCAAGTAAAGCTCGATCGACGCTCACAAACATCTCAACGACATTTTTCAAAAAGCCCAAGCAAAGGTCATCCATTGATCAAGAACAGCTCAACACATGCTCATGCAAAGTTCAAATTCTGCTCGAACAAAATTTTAACACATCTCGAACAAAGCTCAAGCAAGGCTCAAGCAAAGCTCAACTAAAGCTCAAGCAAAGCTCAAACAACGCTCAACCATAGTTCACGTAAAGCCCAACCACAGCTCGAACACAGCTCCAACATAGTTCAAGCAAAGCTCAACCACAACTCAACCAAAGCTCCAGCAACTTTCAAACAGAGCTCAAACAAAGCTCAACCAAAACGCAAACAATGCTTATCAAAGGCTGGAGCAAAGGTAAACAAAGCCCAGACGAAGATCAAGCAGAGCTACAGCAAAGCTCAACCAAAGCTCAGACAAAGTTCAAACAAAACTCAACCGAATCTCAGCCGAAGCTCAAGCAAAGCTCAGCACGCAGTTCAAGCAAAGCGAGAACAGAGCTCTATCACAACTTACAATCGGCTCGAATTCTTCACGCTTCGCGTATCCCCACCAACCCATCTCAAAACAGCAATTCTAGCGAAGCATGCCGACAGTCGTGTTTTTCAGGCGTGTTTCCGCCTGCCCCCGCATATCTCCCCTGTTCCTCCTTCCTCCCGCCTCCTTGTACATCCTCCTTGTGGTGGGAGCGGGAGAAGGACGAGGCGGAGGAGGAGGGAGAGAAAGCGCTCCTCGTGGTTTGAGTCGTTTGGGGTTTCTCGTCCTGGTGTGAGTCGTTCGGGCCCTTCTTCCTGGTGTGAGTCGTTCGGGCTCTTCGTGGTGTGAGTCGTTCGGGCTCTTCGTCCTGGTGTGAGTCGTTCGGGCTTCTCGTGGTGTGAGTTGTTCGGGCCCCTCGTCCTGGTGCGAGTCGTTCGGGCCCCTCCTCCTGCCCGTCCAGAAACGACGCCCAGGCGAGTAGAGGGTCGTCCTGATGGGCTTTTCGGCGTCTTGGGTGCCTCGGGGGGGCCTCTTTGGGCCGTTTGGGATCCTCTTGGGGGCCTCCTGGGGGCCTCTTGGGGCCATCTTGGGGCCTCTTGGTGCCTCCTGGGCGCTTCTTCGGGCCATCTTGGAGGAAATCGATCAAAGAAGAGGGGAGCTTTAATTAGCGCTGCCCCCTCAGAAGGCCAACATGGGGCCAAAATCTTAGTAAAATCAATGATTTTGGCTTGAAAGAAGAGGGGAGCTTTAATTAGCGCTGCCCCCTCAGAAGGCCAAAATGGGGCCAAAACCATAGTAAAATCAATGATTTTGGCTTCAAAGAAGAGGGGAACACTTTTCTGCCTCCCCCCGTCAGGGCCAGAATCCTCGTGAGGGGTGTCGTTTTTTAGCCCTCCCAGGAGTCGAAAAAGACCCCTCTGACGACCCGCGAAAGGACCTCTCCAGGCCCAGGGGGAGGGGGTAGGGGGAGGGGTAAACCCCTCCCCGAAGGGGAAGAAGGGGGGGTGAGAACAGAGAGAGCTCGCTAAACCACTCACGCCCAAAGGGCTCGTGGGATTTAGGGCGCGGAGGGGATCGTTCGCTACCCCCCCTCCCGTTCGAAGCAGGGAGGGGGGGAGTTGGTACCCCGCCCTTTCCGGTTCGAACCAGGTAGGGGGGAGGGGAGGTTCTGCGCCCCCCTCCCCGGGTTTTTCTGGGCAGAGGGGTGCCCCCCGCCTTCCCCGGTTTTGTTTCCCGGACCCAGACCCCGTCGGGTCATGAAACAATCATGACGGAAGGTGTTTCCCTATGTTCGTCTTCCTGAGGCCCTTGCCGGGCCTCGGGACCGTGAAAAACGACTCGGGATGAGAAACGGGTCCTGGGGAATGGGTCGAGAGCTCTGGGGGTCGACGTTATGACAAATCATGACGTCGGGGGTCTGGGGTGGTGGCAGGGGGGGGCGGGGGAGTTTGTCCAGGGACATGTTTCCAGTCAGGCGAGGGTAGATCGCCCTCCCTGTATCCCCAGCCCCGCCCCCCCGTCGTGAGCCTCATCGTGGCCTCCCACATTCAGTGGGTGAATGGGGAAATCATACGGTACCAATACCGCTGCTCCGCGGACCTCTCCTGGGACGCGTTCTGACCAGAATTTCGAAGCGAAGCCAGCGGTGGCGACGAGGGCCTCCCAGGAGGCCCAAAGAGGGGAAAGCAAGGGCAGGGAAGAAGTATGAGGTTTTTGTTTCCTCCTCTGAGCCCAGACCCCCGACGTCAAGAGTTTTTCATGACGCCGCCCCCCAGAGGTCCGGACCTATTCCCCCCGCGACCGGGCTCTCATCCTGAGTCGTTTTTTGACGGTCCCGAGGCCCGGTGAGGGCCCCCAGAGGCCGAAAATAGCAAGAAACCTGCCGTCGTGATTTTTGTCCTGGCTCGAGGGGGAGTCTGGGAGGAGAGCTGCTCGGAGCCTCCTGCCGCAGGGGTGTCGCGCTTTCCTCCTGGCAGGAGGAGCCCGACTGCCGCGTGGCGCTGCTGTCGATCACGGCCTGCGGCGAGGGCATCACCCTCACGGCCGCCGGCCTCGTGATCTTCGCGGAGCTCTACTGGGTGCCAGGGGCGGTGGAGCAGGCCGAGGCAGGGCCGCCGTCATGGTTTTGAGTCGGGCCTGTCCCTCTACAGGAGGAATACCCAAGAACAGGCAAAAAATAGTCAGGGGACGATTTTCAACCTAATTCCCTACCTAGGCTCTGCCTAGAAGGGTTCTTACTGTGTATGCTTAAAGGGCCGGGCAGTGGGAACCGCCCCAGGCGGTTCCCCCGGCATCCGCCCCGAGGTTCCCCCAGTGACGTTCCCTTAGCTTAGCGTTGCTTATCTCATCTTAGCTTTCTTTAGTTCATCTTAGCTTAGCTTCATCTTAGCTCAGGTTAATCTTAGCTTAGCTTACCTTCATCTGAGTTTCGCCGAGCTTTAGCATAGCAGAGCACAGCATATCAGAGCGTAGCACAGCATAGTGCAGCACGGCATATCATAGCATAGCATAGCATAGCATAGCGCAGCATATCATATCATACCATAACATAGCATAGCATAGCATATTATAGCACAGCGCAGCACAGTATAGCATATCATAGCATAGCGCAGCTTAACCTAACATAGCATGGCATAGCTTAGCATAGCACAGCGCAGCATGCCATATCATAGCTTAGCATGGCACAGCATAGCATAGCGCAGCATAGCATAGCATAGCATAGCATAGCATGGCTTAGCATATCATAGCATAGCATAGCAACTAATGATGTGCTCCTAGGGGCTCCAACTTCTAGGTAGGGTCGCACTAGGGTAATTTGTTTGACTATCTTGGGGTATGTTTGTTTTCTTTTGTTGCTCGTCCAAGTTCCCCCTGGATTCTTCCTGGAGGAGGACGTGCCCGACCTAACGTTACGATCCGGGTCGATGCGACCCTGCTCGCAGAGGGTGAGAATTCAGAAGGCGAAAGCCCGCCCCCACCCCGGGTCCCGACTCCCACTCCCGAGCCGGCGAGTCGCGGGGTCGGGACTGGGGACGGGGGCGTTTGCTCCGTGCTTGGGCTCCGAAAAGCTCCCCCACCCCCAGTCCCGAGCCCTGGATCGCGGGTTCGGGGAGGAGATCGGGACTGGGGGTGGGGGGGGCTTTTCGCCTTCCAAAAATGTTGTACCGATGCCGCTGCTCGTTCTGCAGAGCCGTCGTTCACTGCCCACCAAACCACCCAACCCAACCCGAGGGCCCCGATTTGCCCTCTATTTCCAGTGGGGGGGGGGGGCGGGGAACATTGAAAAAACACGTGTGGAACCCGTACCCTCCCCCCACCCCAAAATTCGAGTCTTCGGGTTAGGTTGGGGTGGTCTGGTAGGTAGTCAGTCGTCGTCATGGCTGGAGATTCTTGTCGGAAGGCTGTCCGGAATGCAAACCAGGAGAGGCCCGGCGAGCAGAGGCATGTGTGTATTGCCTTTGTCGCCCCAGCTTCGCCCGGTTGGAGCCACGATGCCGATTCGATTCGATGCGGTTTGCTGGCCTCGGCTGGGGCCAGCAGGAGCCGGGCGCGGCGATGCGACCTCGATTCGATTTGGCACGGTTCGTCAGATTGTAAATCACGGAAGTTCCCGCTCGTCCTGGATTGAATGTACGTCGGCGAATGGCGCCAACCTGCGCCCAGTGGCGCCGAGTGGCGTTCACACAGCGCCCAGTGGCGACCAAAAGTGCCCGAGAGCGCTATGTGAGGGAGATGCATGCCGCCCGCCTTGCGCGCAGTGGGGCGCGGTATTTCAGCCACGCGCAGAGGAGGGTGGGGTAGTGGGGAGGGCTTCTCAGAAGCACCCCTGCTTCTTCGAAGCCGCGGGCCTGATCTATAGATGTAGGGCCGGCGCCTTCTAAGAAGCAGCCTCCTTTCAAGAAGCCCTCCCCCCCTCCCTCCACCCCCTTGCGCGCGCCGCATGACAGCTTGGCCGCCGTGGGGACGACCGAAGGCGTTTCCGCGAGCTGTGTTCTCGGGGGCTCGCCGGCGCTTCGGTCCGGCGCCGATTCGCGGTGTGCCGCGGTTCGGCTGCGGGCTCGGCTTCCGAGGCGCGGGCCCACCGCATCGGGACCACGCACAGCAAGGCTCGAGGGGGTCAAAGAGAGTGTCGCCACGAGGGTCATGCGGTTCCAATCTACTGTAGCCTTGACTGCCAGAAAGAATGTCGAGCACCAAGGAAGTACCGAAGCTGGAGGGTTTTCACGTGTCGTGCCCTGGGAGGCGACACCCGTTCGACACTTTCTCAATACTTTTCTGGGTGCTCGGAATTCCTCAGTCAGTGCTTGAACTGATGGGGTCCTAGCGGATATTGAAAGATTTGGCGAAAGTTTCCTGCCGATTTTGGTGGCCGGCTGGGTTCTCGGGTTCCCGGTTCCGGTATCCTGGGTTCCTGGTTATTGGTTCCGGGCCGATTTCGGTGGGCTCTGGGTTCCCAGGTTCCCGGGTTCCCGGTCGATCTCTTTCTCGATCGGACTATCCGCTGATTGGGGCTTTGCTCTGGTGTAATTATTTTTGGGGATGTGGTCCCTAAGTACGATGGGAGCAACACTAACACGAGCGAAGAAGCGGGTCCTGCGGCGCGCGTGTACACCGTGGCCGTTGCGTCCCCTCGGCTCCGTGCCCTCTGCCGCGGCCTCGTGCCCGTGCCAGCCGCGGCGTCGGTGTCCTCGGTCCCGTGCTCTCCGTGTCCTCGCTCCCGTCCCAGACCCCCATCGAGTCACGGAACAATCACGGCGGGAGGTTCTTCGCTATATGTTCGGCCCCCGGGAGCCCTTACCGGGCCTCGGGGCCGTCAAGAAGCGACTCAGGGTGAAAAACTGGCCCCGGGGAACGGGTCTGGATCTCCGGGGGTCGCGCCATGAAAAAATCATGCCGTCGGGGGATTTGGGGTGTCTTCCACGACCTCGGCTGCATCGGTTCGCGAGTTCCGTTTCCTCGGTGCCGTGTTGTTGGTGTTCTCGGTTTTGTGCTGTGCCTTGCCTGTGCCCTTCGTGTCCGGCATCTTCTGCCATTTGTTTGGTTGTTCTGCCATCTTTGGACTCTCGGAGCTCTCCACAGGCCCCAGGATTGTCAACACATCGCCCAGGAGGCCACACCTGTCCCAGGGATCAGCTCCCGGATACAGGACCTGTTTTCCTCAGGGCCAGTGTTCCTCAAGCCAGAAACCCACACATGATCATCCACTTTCGGGGGTCCGCGCAGGGGGGTCCAGCGCCCGATCCGAGGAATCCGCGCGGACCTCTAAACGTTTGGGGGACTAGCTTTTTCGTGTCATTCTAAAGGTGGTGGTGGAGTTCCTTGTCGTGCCAAACTCGCCGGACGATGACATTTTCAAGAGGCTTGCGCCATTCCGACGCCACCCGGAATGGAGGAGCCGCCGCGATGTCCAGGGTTTTTCCGATTTTCTTGCGTGTTGGGCCGTCGTTCTAAACAATGAATCGCTACCTTCTCCTCCACAGTTTTTGCATCACCCCCAGGCGTGTCGGTAGGGAGGGGCGGGCGTATTCCAAGGATTCGCCACTTTGCCGCCCGTTGCCGCCTGTGGTGGTCTGCCGAGGATTCGTCACGTTGCCGCTCTTTGCCGCCTCGTTGCCTCGTCGTTGCCGCATCGTGTGGGCATGCGGAGAGTCATTCACGATTCGCGTAGATCCACCAGCCCATCCAGAGGAGGATCGCCAGACGAGTTGCATTGATCAGGGAAGTGTAGAAGAGTGCAGTGCAACAGCCGCCTTGGAAGCTCTTTCTCGGAGGACTCTTGGAGCCACCTTGGGACTCTCTTGGGGTCCTCGCGGAGCCTCTTTGAGCACTTTTGAGTCCCTTTTGGGGCTCTCTTGGAGCCTTCTTGGGGCCCTCTTGAGGCTCGGTGGAGGGGTCTGGGAGGCCTCTTGGGGCCATCTTGGTCCCCATGACGCTAAAAGAGGGGTGGTAGGAAATTCAGGACCCCCCCCCTTGGAGGCAATGGCGTCTTGAGGCCCTCTTGGTGCGCTCTTGGGGCGCTCTTGGGGCGCTCTTAGAACTGTCTGGAGCCCCTCTTAAGGCTCTCTTGGGCTGTTTTTGGGCCAGCTTAGCCACAAGAGTCCATCGGAAGCGAAAAGGCGAGAAGGCAGACACACTGATTGTCCTTAGGTTTTGGAGCCATTGTGGCCTCTTATGGGGGTCCTAGGAGGGCTCGGAGGGCACTTGAAACCGTCTTGGGGTCGTCTTGAGGCCTCATAGATGTGAGTCGGAGGCTATCTTGAACCAGATTGAGGTCTCTTGAACCATCTTTGAGGCCATCTTGCGCTCTCAGAGGCCCTCTTGGGGCCGTCTTGAGCTATCTTGGGCGCTCTAACCCCTCGCGGGCGCCTCGTGCAGGCCCAGGGGAGGTGGTCGGGTGAGGGGTGAACCCCTCCCACGAGCAGGGGAAGGGGGGAGCCTTGGCACAGAGAAGGCACACTTCGTTAAACCGCCTAAGCCCAGAGGCCTGGTGTGATTTGCGACGTTGCCGCCCGTTGCCGCCTCTTCGCCAGGTCGTTGCCGCCTCGCACGTTGTGTGGTATAGTTGCCGCCGGTTGCGGCCTGTGGCGGTATGCCGAAGATTCACCACGCTGCATGCCGCTGCCGCCTGTGGAGGTCTGCGAAGGATTCGCAACGTTGCCGCCCGTTGCATCCTTTCAGGAGGAGAAAAAACACACAGACACAATTAATCGTCGACTCCCAGGAAAATATGCAAAAATATGGGAAGTGGGGGGAAAGACAAAACCCCCAAAAATATAAGAAAATATGGGGGACATTTTGATTTGTGTGTATTTATTTGTGTGTCCTGGGGCACCTTCATCCTCGTTACCGCGCCGTTGCTGCCTCGTCAGCGGCGTGGGCATGCCGAGGATTTTGTGTGGACGTGCCGAGGGTGCACCACGCCGTCGCCCGCTGCCGCCGCGGTGGGTGTAATGCCGCGGTCCGCCACGTTGCCGCCCGTTGCCCCCTGGATGCGTGCGTGCCGAGTTTTTCGCTGTTTGGGTAAACGGAGGATTCGCCTCGTTGCCGCCCGTTGCCGCTGCCTGTGGGGGTATGCGAAGGATTCGCCACCTCTGCTGCCCGTTACCGCGCCGTTGCCGCCTCGTGCGTTGCGAGGGCCTGCCGGGGATTCGCCACGCTGCCGCCACGTTGCCGCATCGTTGCCGCCTCGTGCGTACTGTGGGCATGCCGAAGATTTGCCACGCTGTAATTAAATGCGCGTGTACTCTCCTGTGGAAATAAAACGCCACACTCCCGAGTACGGACTTGTCGGTACCCCTTGGGACAATGCAATGTACGCAGGGTTCTGGTTCATCGTTCGGAGTCCAGCTCGAATTACGAAGATGAATTCATGGCATCCCAGTGCAACGGGGTATTCTTCCCCGCCATCAGCCTTTTCAAACAGTATTACGAGCGCACACACGCACGTTTATCTCAACATCTCATTTTGCAACAGGGCCTCGTACCATAATCATACGAAGTCCACACGCGCGTGCACATGTCAAAACCATACCAACCGCATTATGTCTGCATGCGCGTCGACCTAAACACCGTAAACGCCGTTAGGTTTTCCATCACAGCTGTTGCAGAGTTCCTGCCCGCATGCATTTGTTGCACTCACAGGGAAACCATATGACGTTAGCAATCTCGCCCAGATCCCGCATTCTCATCCCACCACGCGGTGCAGCCACGTTGATCTTGCACGCGCCCAGTGCACGAACCCGTATCGAATGATACCATCCACATGTGCGCGCCGCCACACGCACGTGTCGCAATCCTTCCAAAACAGTGAAGTCTCGAAGCATTTCAAAGTAGAGCCTTACACATCAGATGACAACCAATTGTTTTTTCAACAGTAAGTAGTGTCTGTGCGCGCGCACTTTCTCACCATCACCCGCATCAGCGCCACCGCATCACCGCCGTCATCGTCGTCGCCAAAAGCAGCCAATGCCACTCATCATGGGGCAACCACCTCCATCACCGACACATAAACAGCATCATCGTCATCGTCTTCACCAGCATTGGCGCTGTCATTGGCATTGCCGTCGTCATCGTCATCATCGCAGCCGCCATCCCTACTATCAGAATCGTTGCCGCCGTTGCCGACGCCATCATGATATCGCACCCGCCCGAGTCACCGGGCTGCACTGGTGCGCTCGCGCGCCAGCGCGGCCTCTCTAAGACGCGCTGAGAAGTTCCCATTGGCAAGCGCCACCACGACCGCAGCAGTTGTGCCAAACCAGCTGGTCGCTCTGCGCTCGCGCAAGCGCGGCCGCAGAGCTGCGACAGCCAGTGACAAGCGGTCACCGCAAGCGTGACCGCATGGATTTTGCAAAACAAGTTGCGGGAGGGAAAGTGGGATGATTGCGCGAACAGTGGACTGGACAATTCATGATTGACTTGGTTATTGCGGTGAATTGCACTACGTAGCTCGCACCACATACCTTGCGCCACATAGTCTGCACGTCCACCGTGAGACACCTCACTGTTTGGCGTTCACACTAGCAGACATCTGATCCTGGATCTTGAAATTCGCAACATGTGCACGGGTGGCCGGGGGGATGTTCAAGATGGGGTTTTCTCTTCAGCGCCACGCGCATTCCTTTGAAAACGTTTGCACCAATTTCAAGGACGGATGGGGGGAAATGATGTCAACATGGTGTTCTCACCTCAGCGCCGCGTGCACTCCTTTCAAACTACAGCTTCATGGGTGATGGGCGGCTCCTTTTCATCTTCCAGACAGTGTTTTCACTTCAGGGCGCTTAACTGTGAAATACTGAGCCTGGTCTGGTCGTCGGTCCGGCAGCTATGTCGCCGCCCCGTTGCCGCATCGTCGATGCCCGTCGTTTGGGCGTGGACGTCGGTCTGGCGGCTCTGTCGTCGCCGTCGCCGTCCCGTCGCCGCCTCGTCGCAGTCGTCTGGGCCTGCACGTCGGGTCCGCCGCCTGATGGTCGCCGTCGCCGCTCCGTCGCCGTCGCCGCTCCGTCGCTGCGTCGCCGCCGCGCGCAACCTCGTTGCCGCATTGATTTGCATTGTTTTGTTTTTTTACGTTGCATTGCTCCGCGTTGTATTGCAGACCGTTGCAGCATGCGTTGATTCGCATTGCTTTTCATTGCTTTGCATTGTTTCACATTCAACTGCATTGCTTTGCGTTGCTTGTTCTACCAACAGCACTTGCCTTTAAGGCCTTTTGCTTGAGGGATGAGGAACTGGGCCTGGCCGTCGGTCTGGCGGCTTTGTGGTCGCTGTCGCCGACCCGTCGCTGCCTAGTCACCGCCCGACGTCTGGGTCTGGCCGTCGGTCTGGCGGCTTTGTGGTCAAGCGTCCCGAACGCATTTACAAACACATAGTTTGCACCATTCGCTTTCGAAAAAAACATACACAAAAAGGTCTGCGCGCGCGTTCTTGCGAGTTCTCACAACATTCAAAACTTTCTTGGTGTCGAGATCATTCGAACGCTTTGGCGCGCGTGCTGGGGGGGAGGCGATCCCTGTCAAATAATACCGTGCTGGCCATTCGCGCGCGTCGGCCGCGCGCGCATGTCGAAATCCTTCCGACACATTCGTCACCGACGCGAGGACATTGTCATCGTCATCGTTGTAATCAGCATCGGCGCCGTCATTGGCCTTGCCGTCGTCATCGTCAGCATTGGCACAGTCACCGCTACTATCATCATCTTGTCTACCGTTGTCGACGTCGCCATGGTACCGCGCCTGGCCCAAGTCACCGATTCACACTGAAGTGTCCGCTGGGAAGTTCCCAGCGGTCAGCGCCACCGCTGCCGCGTCGGTCGCGTCAAACTATTTGGCCGTTGTGCTCGCGAACATGCGCGGGCTAGTTCGGCCGCAGAGATGCACCAGCCAACATCAAACACTCGCCGGGTTCACCGCTTCGTTTGTTTTGCTGTTTTGCAAACTCAGTGTTGTGTGAGTGGGTGGGATGATTGCGCGAGTACGTGGTAGAGTGGACACCTTCAAGTGTTATGTTGTTCGTTGCACGACGTATACTGCCCCACATATGTTGCACGACCTATATTGCGCACCACATGTGTTGTCCATGTTCTGAAAATAAATTAGTTCCCACCGCCACCCCAAGGCCGGGATTATCCCTCCCCTTGCCCGCCTGGGGATGGGGATGTGCAGCTTGCGCGCGCGGTTCTGCCCCATCGCTCATTCAAAATTTAAGCTCATGTCATCCCAGCCAAACCGTGTTCGACCCACCCCCCACCATCCCCTCCAACAAATTCCATGCGCGCAAGCTCGTTCTTCATAAATCATCAGTTTTCAATAATTCCCAGCAGCAATGAGACTAAATGCGGACGGGCGCGTCGTCGCGCGATCAAGCCGATATCCGTCAAACACTTCAGGCAACATCGAGCGTCCCAGAAACATGTAGAAGAGCGTGCTTTTGCAACATACGTTCTATATGACCAAAATCTGCGCGCGGGCTCTTGTGAATTATCAAGACAACCATGTTTTGTGTACATCTTCATCACATGCGACCAAGCCGGCAGCATGCGTGCGCATGCCGAAATTATTGAAACGCCCTTGCGCACGTGCTGCCGGGGGCACGGTCCCTGTCAAATGATAGCAAGGTGGCCAGTCGCGCGCGCCGGCCGCGCTCTTATGACGAAGTTTGCCCGAAACAACCATACGCGAGAACACCATCATCGTCATCGGCGTGATGAGCATCGGCGCCGTCCTTTGTTTTACTTTCGTCATCGTCGTCGTCGTCGTCACTGGAATCGCTGCATTCTCATCGTGTTTTCCTCTTTACCGATGTCGCCCATGAAACCGCGCCCGCCCGAGTCACTGATTCTCAATGTGAGACGCGCTTGGGGATCCCCAGTGGTCAGCACCACCACGGCCGCGTCGGTCGCGCCGGACCAGCTGGCCGCTCTGCGCGCAAGTTTGCGCGCGCTAGCGCGGCCGCAGCGATGCGTCAGCCAGCCCCAGGCAGGCATCGCAAATGCCACCTCATGGGTTTTGCAAACCACGTTGCGGGTGGGTGTGTGGGATGATTGCGCGTGCAGTGGAGTTGATACTTCACAAGTGAGCAGCTAATCGTACCACGTAGTTTGGACCACACGCAGTTCGCAGCATAGTTTGCACAACTTAGATTGTCGCACATCGACTGCACCACATGGGGTCTCCTTTTTGGACGGGAACTTGGATCGACCACCCCACTCCGCCCCAGACTTGTTACGCCCCCCTGGGAATGTACAATTTACGCACGACCCTACCCCATCGCTCACTCGAAAGACGAATCCATGCCATCCCAGCCAAGCCGGTATCGCCTCCCCCCGTTTGACCTCGTCAAATAATGATGTGCGCGCACTTTTTTATCAGCAATCATCAGTCTGCAAGAACCCTTTTCAATATGTTTGATAAGGTCCGCACGCGCGCGGCGTCGTACGCGCATGCCGATACCTGTCGAGTAACCGTAGGTTGCGTGCGAAGACATGCACAAATAATGGTTTTGCAACGTGGGGGTCCGAAACATGTTTGCTGCGCGCGTTCTTGCGACTTCTTGGAAGGCCGTCGGTTTCCAACACTTTCATGCGACCAAATGGGCGTCTCGCGCGCGCATGTCGAAATCATTCGAACGCCACCGCTCGCGTGTTGGGGGGCGGTACGATCCCTCCCCAAACGTATGAGGGCCACTCGCGTGCGCCGGCCGCGCGCGCATGCCGAAATCGTTTCAACACCTTCATCACCAACGCGTTGACACCATCATCATCGTCGTTGGCGTGATCGGCATCGGCGCCGTCATTAGCGTTGCCGTCGTTATCGTCATCGTCGCTACCAGCATTACTACAATCATCATCGTGTCTATCTTTGCCGACGTCGCCATGAAACCGCATGACCGACCCTCAGTGGAATGCCCGCGCGTCAGCGCGACCTGCGAGCAGCGTTGGGAAGCCCCCAGCGGTCAGCACCACCGCGGCCGCGTCGGTCGCGCCAGATTAGTTGGCCGCTTTGCGCGCGAGCCTGCGCGCACGCGCGCGGCCGCAGCGGTGCGCCTTCCAGTGCCAAGCACAAGCAGCCATCGCAATCGCCGCCGCATGGGTTTTGAGAACCAACTTGCCGTTGGATGAGTGGACGGTTGCGCGACCAGTGGAGGGGACAATTTCAACTAGACACACATGTTGCACATAGATTGCGCCCTCACATGTGCACAACAGAGTCTGCACAGCACGAAGTGTGCCACATTGACGGCCCCACATCGCTTGCACTGCATTCGTGATACTACGTAGGGTGCACCACCCAAAGTGCACCACCTATATATATATATATATATATATATAGTTATATGTATATACACATATGTATGTATATATTATAGATATACTGCACAGTGAATATTGCACAGCTTCCATTGCTAGAAACACACTGTTTGGGGTCACAGCTGGCTAACATGGAATATGCGCTTCAATGCAACGCGCATTCGATTCAACGTGTCACAGCAACTTCAAGAATGGATTGGTCCGACATCAAAAATGGGACGGCCACAGCGCTGCGCCGTAACGCCGTGAAGGCCGTTTATGTGTCAACATTTTTGGCCTTTCGCGTGGGCCTTTTTTCGGGGGGCACGGTCACACATCTAACTGTGTACACCAGTTACACAGTTGGGGCTGTCATTGTGCAATATTTTCGCGGGACGCGCTGCTGAACTGTGTTCTTTTGTGCTCGCATCCTTATGACGACCACAGAGGATTCAGTGATGTTTTTTTCGAAACGGGGTTTCGCCTGATTAACGCAGGGACAAAAGGAAGGGGCTTCTTTTCGATGTAATTGCGACATTGTTCGATCCCCTTTGTTTGTTCGATCTCGTCTACGACGACGACGACGACGACGATGCAAAGGAGGCTGGCGTACTTCAGTTTGGGTTGGGCCGGCCTCGCGTCGAAGGGCCTCCCACACACGCCGATTGGGGCGGCGGATTTTGCGATTCGAATCGATCCGCGAGGGTCCTAAGGGTCCGAAATTGTGCAACACATCGCCCGTTGCAAAACAAACGCTCTCATGGGAAGAGGAGGAGGAGGAGGCGGAGGAGGAGGAGGAGGAGGAGGAGGAGGAGGACGACGACGAGGAGAAGGACGAGGAGGAGGAGGAGCGGAGGAGGAGGAGGAGGAGGAGGAGGAGGAGGAGGAGGAGGAGGAGGAGGAGTGAGGAGGAGGAGGAGGGAGGAGGAGGAGGGGAGGAGGAGGAGGAGGAGGAGGAGGAGGAGGAGGAGGAGGAGGAGGAGGAGGAGGCGGAGGAGGAGGAGGAGGAGGAGGAGGAATGGAGAAGGAAAGGAGGAGGACGAGGAGGAAGAGGAGGAGGAGGAGAAGGAGGAGGAGGGGCCCAGGGACCATCAAGAGTGGATCCGCGGGACGACAAAAAGCCCCGCTGGCCGAAAAATCGAGGATCGTCCCGCGGATCCAATCGTGTCGGGGGCGGCTAAGAGGGGGGTGATGACTAGGGGGAGGGTGGATATCATGGCGTGGGCCATGATATTTCCCCAGATTTCATGGCGCCTCTTCTCATTTCATTACACGCTGGTCGTTGAAAGTAGGTATTTTGGGATTCCCAGATCCCCATCTACTTCAAGCGCCTTCCTACTTCAAGAATCGACATGCTTTTGCTGTCTTTTGTTATTCTCTGGGAGGGCCTGGACCCAATCCACTATATCCGCCTTCCTACTCCATGTTCGACCAATTCCAGAGTCCGCCAATCCCATCTACTCTGACCCCACCCTGAAGGCCTAGACCCTGGAGATCCTCTTATAATCCTACTATACCCGCCTTCCAAGTGACCTACTTCTTCCGACCGACGTGTACGTCCCCGGCCCCCCCCTGGGCCGCGCACATGCCGCCGGCCACGATTTGCACCCCCCCTTCTTGGACGCCCCCCTCTTGGACGCCCCCGAAGGCCGAAGAAGCGAGGAGCAAATCCGCCGGACTGGCAAAAATCACACCCGCGGAGATCTGGCGGCCACGCGCAGAGGGGGTGTGGGTCGGGGGCGGCAAAGAGGAGGGTGATGACTAGGGGGGGTGGATATCATGGCGGCGGCCATGATTTTTCCCCAGAAGATTTCATGGCGCCTCTTCTTATTTCATTACGTCCCTGCCCCCCCCGCTGGGCCGCGCATATGCCGCCGGTCATGATTTGCACCCCCCCGCTCTCGGATACCCCCCTCTTGGCCGCTCCCGAGGTGTGGGGGGAGGGGGCTATGCAGGCTTCTCAGAAGCAGCCCTGCTCCTCGGGAGGCGCGGGCCTCCTGTTGCAGATGTCGGACCGGCGCCTTCTATAAGAGGCAGCCTCCCTCTGAGAAGCCTGCCCCCCTCCCCCTCCTGCCCCCTTGGGCTCGCCGCCCCATCTGGGAAGCGCGGGCCCGCGGATTCAAGAGCCTGGAGCGCAAGAAGCAGGACACCTCCAGCGTGCTCGACGGCGCCGCCGAGACGCTCGCGGCGCAGTGCGCGCCGGCCCGGCCCAGGAAGCGCAGCGCCCCGGCGGAGGAGTTTGGCGACACACGCGAAGCCCCCAAGGGGATCCCAGAAGCCAGATCGCCTCGGGGCCAGAAGTAAGGGAGGGGGGAGATTCGAGGATCGGGGTTCCCAGACCCCTCGAGCAATGAAAAAATCATGACGGGAGCTTTTGCTCCATTTTCGGCCTCTGGGGGCCCTTACCCTGCCTCGGGAACGTCAAATAACGACTCAGGATGGCAAACCGGTCTTGGGGAACGGGTCCAGGACTCTGGGGGTCGACGTCATGAAAAAACCATGGCGTCGGGGGTCTGGGTTCCGTGGCAGGGAGTTTGCCCTTTTCGATTTTGGGGGGGCGTTTTCGGGCGGGGACCGTCCAGGATGGATCCCGGGTAACTCTTGCACCAGATGGGCCCCGGGAGGGCTCCGGGGACCGATTTCGAGGGAGGGGCTCAAGAGACGGAGGTCAATGGAAACGGGGGTTCAGCCAGAGCGCCGGATCTTGAAGGATCCTACAGAGCCAGGGTCGCAATCGACCCGAGCTTGGGCGCAGGATGCTGCAGGACCGTGCAGGATCTTGGAAAGTCTGACTGACCCGGGTCTGGATTGGCCCGGGTCTCAGCAGAATTCCGATCGCCGACGGTAGTGATTTTGTTCAGCCGTAGTTGTTCCATGATTTCGGCCTCTGGGCCCCGTTTGCTGGCCCCTATTGTCCATCGGAAACGTATCTGGGCTGCAAATCTACTCTTGGGAAAAGGGGTCAGGAGCATCGAGGTCGCATGTTCAAAAATAGGAAATAGGGTCAGAGGGTATCAGGGAACGGTGTGTTGGCCACACCATGTTGTCAGTCAACGGGGATTCGGGATTTTCGGACGTTTTCATAAGTTCCTGGCCTCGGGATGCGTTCCAGCAGCTGCACCTCGCCGAAAGCGTTCCTGGGGTGCTCGGATCGTCCCGAACGGCCGCCGGGGACCCGGCTGATGGTCCGAAACAAGGCGGCGAGGAACACACTGTGCCGTGAGTCAGGCGGACCTCGGGGTCACCGCACGGTTTGGGACTCGGGTCGTTCTCTGGGGATGTCCTCGGGCGACGCGGGGTCCCCAGACCGTGCTGTGAAGGATCGTGCGGTCCTTACCGTTTTGGGACCTCCAGATGTCCAGTTGGAGGAAGCCTTGTGGGAGCCTGCGGGCTTTCGGGCGGTGCTAGGTCCAGTTGCAGCAATACCCAGTCGTTGCCAATGGGCCCCATCTGGTGTGCTTCTGGCTGGACTCGGGCAACGCTATGCCCAGTGGGAGGAAGTCTGCTCGGAGCCAGGGGGCTCCGCTTGGTGGCCCCCTGGCTGGACTTTACCCCTTATCTCGGGCGACGTCAAGTGCAGCGGGAGCAAGTCCTGTCGGAGCCATGGGGCTCCATCTGGTGGCCCTCCAACCGGACTCCCCCAGAGATCCGAGTTGACGAAAACATGTAACAGCGCGAAAAAACACGACCCGAGCCCCATAGGCCTCATCTTTCGAGCCGGATCGATCTGCGAGGGCCTGGGGGCCCGAAGCTGGGTCAAGCCGCCCGGCGCGAAGCAATGCAGCGCCCAGATCTCCCCCGCCCGGAGGAGGCTGCCGAGGGCGACGAGTGCAGCCAGAGCGCCAAGCGGCTCTTCGCCGCGCTGGGCGCGAAGGCCAACCAGCAGCGCCCGCGAGGCCGACCAGCGCGCGCCGCGGCCGGCAGCGGCGCGGGCGCGGAGGTCCAGTCCCAGGCGAGCGGCGGCGACACGCCAGCGGCGGTTGGCGCGCCTGGCATGGAGGCGGCGGCGCCGCCGCCCGCGGCGACCGAGCGCTCGGGGTCGGCTGCGGCGGCAGAGGAGAGGGCGACCACGGCGGCGCCTGCAGCGGACGAGCGCTCGGGGGCGGCCGCGGCGGAGGAGCGCACGGAGGCGGCGCCCGCGGCGGAGGAGCGCACGGAGGCGGCGCCCGCGGCGGACGATCGCTCGAGGGCGGCCTCGGCGGCTGCCGCGGCGGCGCCCGCGACGGACGGGCGCACCGGGGCGGCGCCGGCGGCGGCGGAAGAGAAGGTGTCGATCGAGGTGAGGGCCACGGCGGAGGGCGAGACCTCCAGGATCACGTACTCGCTGAGGTGCACCTCCAGCCTCGACAGGTTGATGAGGGCCTGGTGCAGGCACCGAAGAACCAGAAACGGCATGCGTACTTGGATTCCTAGATCCCAATCTACTTCAGGCGCCTTCCTACTTCAAGTTATTCGCGCTTCGCGGTTCGGCTCCGATTCCTCCTCATCCTCCTCTTCTCCCTTGGGAGGCGGCGCGAGAGCGCGAAGTTGTTCGCACTTCGCGCTTCGCGCAGCGCGAAGCGCGAAGTTGGGAGCACTTGATGCATAAACTGCTGGAGCTTCGCGCAGATCTCTTGGGTCTGCGCTGGGCCCCCCTGGCGGCGCCTCCAGCGCTGCCTTTAGCGCGCTCCGCCCGCCAGGGAGGGCAGCCCAGCGCCGATCAAAGAAATTCGCGCGGCCATCCGAACGTTTTTCTTTGTGCCGTTTTTTCGGAGGTGGATAGACCTCCTACTCTGACACGTCGATTGAGGAATTGGCCGTTTTCGGCTCGCGAGAGGGCGTCGCGGCCGTCATTTTTGCGGGTCCAGGTCCGTCGGTTTCGGTCCCAGGCCGTTTTTACTAAGGGGAGGTCTACTAAAGGGAGGTTTGTCCACCGCCGATGTATGCCGTTTCTGTTTTCCTAGCAGGCATCAGGGCATGCAGCTGCCAGACGTCAGGTTCCCTGCATCGGGTAACCGAGCCTCGTCCCCACTGGGCCATGGTAGCTCAGTCCCGCCAACCGAACCCAGGTGGGGATAGGGCCGCGAAAGCCGAAGGGAACAGCATAGATCCTTGTCTTGGGGGTTACATCGGTCACTTGGGCCAAGGCCATGCCAATGGGGATAGGGATGCTGTCAGGAACTTTGGCTTAGCTTGTCGCGCCGTCCGTTCCGGCCCACCACGCTTCAGCGCGACACGCTACCCATTTCCCGGTCCCCAGGCGTCAACGTTCCGAGCCTTTCCCAGCTTCCCGCCCCGCGGAGCGGAGCGACACGCTGTCCGTTTGCCAGGCGTAGCGTGTCGCGGGGGCCGCCATTGCAACACATTGCGCAACAGTTTCTGACCGTACTAGTAGGTTAGGCCCAGACGTGCGACGTCCTGCTGTTTTCCAGCACGAGCTCCCCAGAAATCCCAACCCTTTCTACGGGACCGGCATTTCAACCTCTGAGTCGCGTTCTGACAGCCCCAGGGCCTGGCGAGGGCCCCCCCGAGAGGCCGAAAGCGGCCCAGAAATCCTCCCGTCCTACTTTTTGTTCACGGCGCGAGCATGTCTCGACTACGCGTAAGAGTGACCCTTCGCCGGAGTTCCCTTTGGTGCGGGCTGATCGGGGTCCCGATCGCCGCGATGCGATAGCAGCTGGTTGCGCGCTTGGATTTGGCCACCTTGCGCCCCCTGTCAGTCCGCGCGCCAAAGAACACTCTTGCTTAGGGCCACTCTTGCGTGTAGCCGAACCCAGATCCCCGTCGTCATGATTTGCTCATGACGTCGACCCCCAGAGGTCTCGACCCTTTTCCTGGGACCAGTTTTTCATCCTGAGTCGCTGGTTGATGGCCCCGAGGCCCGGCGAGGGCCCCCAGAGGCCGAAAATGGCGAAACGCTTCCCGTCATGATTTCTCCATTGCCCGAGGAGGTCTGGGAATGTCTGTGGGAGCGGTACTCTCTTGGTATAGCTCGGACGTGTGCACTTTTTCTCGGCGGGGAGCATCGAGGAGCATCCTGGATCATCCTGCGACAAAAACCGCGCACGAAACCGAAAAACACAGGGAATGGACGTCCGAGCGATGGCCAGCTCGAAGAGGAGGAAGAGGAGGAGGAAGAGGAGGAGGAGGAGGAGGAGGAGGAGGACGAGGACGAGGACGAGGACGAGGACGAGCACGGGGACGAGGAGGAGGACGAGGACGGGGAGGAGGACGAGGACGAGGTCGAGGACGAGTCTGGGCATGTCTGGTGGGCGCGGCGCACGCACGCCGGTCGTTGAAAGTAGGTATTTTTGGATTCCCAGATTGCAATCTACTTGAAGCGCCTTCCTACTTCAAGAATCGACACGCTTTTGCTGTGTTTTGTTATTCCCTGGGGGGGGGCCTGGACCCAATCAACTTCATCCGCCTTCCTACTTCATGTTTTTACCTACTTCTTCCGACCGACGTGTACAGGTTCCTCCACGACGGCCGGGAGCTGCGGCCCGACGCCACGCCCGGGGGCCTCGGCGCCGAGCCCGGCGGCCGCCTGGTGCTGCACGCGGTGCCCCGGCCGGCCGCCGGCCGGCAGCCGGCCCCGCCCGAGGCTGCCGCGGAGGGCTCAGGGCAGGGGCGAAGCGTCCTGGCCTTAAGTCGGGCCTGTCCCCCGACAAGGGGATTTCAGAGCGTGAATTACCTACCCCGCTTTCGCTTCCAGGCAAAACCAAGTCATACCACGCGCCTCCTCGTCAAGCGGCCTGACCAGTACATGCCGTGGTTTGGCATCGCTTGGTATCTCTTGGAAGCGAGGGTGGTCAAAAGCGAGGTAGGTCTGCTTGCCCCCTAGGATTGTCGACGAAAACTCAAAGATACCCCCAAAAATGGTCAACAAATAATCCAAAGATAGCCCGGGGACGATTTTGAGGGTATTTGTCTTTACCATTTTGGGGTATGTTTCGTGTGTATGTTTTATCTGTCGTCGAAAATCTCCCTGTAGGGGGACAGGCCCGACTGAAGTCCTGGCGTGCCCATAGCCCATAGCCCTACCAAGCAATGTCCTTAGAGCCTGTTGTGCTACCCACGAAATGTTCTTGGAAGATTTCTGGCTGGGGCCGTGGTGTTTTAGCACATAGGGCTCAAGTTGTAAGATCATTGTTTGTGTTCTTAGACCATTCTTGGGTTCTAAGAACACTCCGTGGTAGGACTACAGAAATGCCGGGACGTTCGGTCCCTGCTCAAAGGGTCGGCACGATCGCAACCCAGACATGTTCGCGTCGCGAAAAATTGCAGGGCGGTTTCCTCCTAGACCCCCTCGGGCAATGAAGAAATCACGACGGGAGGTGTTTCCTAATTTTCGGCCTCCAGGGGCCCTCACCGGGCCTCGGGACCGTCAAAGAACGACTCAGGATGACAAACCGGTCCTGGGGAATGCGTCGAGACCTTTGGGGGTCGACGTTATGGAAAAATCATGACGTCAGAGGTCTGGGTTCGCGTCGTGAAAATATCAGGGCGGTTTCCTTCGAGCAGTGGCGAAGCGTCCTGGTTTGCCTGTAGGCCCACCTAAGAATGTTCTACAAACCTTTTGTGGTCTGCACGCGTTGTTCTGAGAACCTTTCTGTCTGAGACTGTCTCTGTGTCAGCACATCGGGTTTACATCGTCTTTGTTCTTAGAACATGTCGTGGTAGGCCCATAGGAGTGCCGGGGCGGTCGGTCCCTGCTCAAGTCCTGCCTGCAACCTATCCCTATCCCTATGTTTGGCACCCCCTTGCCTCGGTGCCGATCGCAGGGGTTCCCTCAGTTCCCCGAGGGCACATCCCTGAGGCTGTCAGCGCCCTGGGCTTGCCGATCTCAGGAGCAGGGGTAAGCTCGAGGCCGGTTGGATGGGAGGTGCTGCGCCTCAAGCAGTGGCGACGCGTCCCGGCTCGCCTATAGCCCCACCAAGCAGTGTTCTAAGAACCGCTTGTGGTTCCCAAGACATGCTCTTAGAACATTTCTGGCTGGGACTGTCTTGACTTAACACATCGGGTTTATGTTCTAAGAAGATTGTTTTTGCTTTTCGAGCATTTTTGGGGTTCTAAGAACATTTCGTGATAGGACAATAGGAATGCCAGGACGGTCGGTCCCTGCTCAAGCGCCGTTTTCAAATTCTGTGGGCCCTCTCCGGGACCATCAAGCACGATTCAGGGTGAGAAACTTTCGAGTTGGCCCAAGAGGGGGTCCAGCGACAAGGGGGCGGTGCAATAGGTGTGGGGCGTGCAATACATTCCGAGGCGCAAATGTATTGCTGGTTTCTCGCGTGCAATACATGACTTGCAACACAATGCAATACGATTTTCCGGCGCAATACATTTGCAATACGATTGCCCCAAATCTATTGCACCACCCCCTTCCAGCTGTACCCCCTTTTGGGTCGCAAGGAGAAG